CTCTCTCTCTCCCCCTCCTCCTCCCTCTCTCTCGTTCTTTCTTTCTCTCTGTCACCCCCCTCTCTCTCTCTTTCTCGGACCCCCCCCCACCCAATCCTCGGACCTCACTCTGTGTTACTATGCCCTGCCGGAAATGAGCTCATCCATCTAGCGGAACCCGAGAGGTTCATGCATATTCATGGCCATTTATATACCGCAATCACGTGCAGGGATCTCTTTCTTTAACCAAATTTGCTCCCTTGTATTTACAACAAAGTAGCACACGCTTCATACGATGAAAACAATTTAACGAAAGGTTTCGGGAAAGGCGTAATTTTAGCCAATGTCCAGTTGTTAGAAACCTCATTACCTCTTGACAGGCGCATCCCTCGTGATCGTTCGCAAAATTCATTTTGATTTTTATAATTGCAATTTCTATTAACTGCCACAGGCATAAAAGGCTGCATGATGAAGAATTGCATGATAAACGTTTTCAGTCTTTTTATATTAATTGTTTTTCAATGTCATTTTCGCTGGCGCTATTTCTTTTTATATATATTTTTTTCTCTGTAAGCTGTTTTCTTTTTCTTTTGATTTGGACGTTGTCTATTTTTGCTTTGTGGTGACACGTGATTTACAAGCAAGATATGCACACACACACACAGACACACGCACACGACTACACGCACGTGAGCATATGTGCGCCTGCATGAGCTCATAAGCACATACTCACACATAGACACACACATATCTATTAACTGCCACAGGCATAAAAGGCTGCATGATGAAGAATTGCATGATAAACGTTTTCAGTCTTTTGATTTCAATTTTTTTTCAATGTCATTTTCGCTGACGCTATTTCTTCTTATATTTTTTTTCTCTATAAGCTGTTTTCTTTTTCTTTTGGTTTTGCCATTTTTTCTTTTTTTTTCTTTGTGGTGACACGTGATTTACAAGCAAGATATGCACACATACACACACACACACACACACACACACACACACACACACACACACACGCAGAGGACGGATAATCGATCTCTTCCTTGTTCTCACTGCCACCGTCAGTTTCTGTGTGGGCTGTTGCCTAATTAACTGTGCGTGCCATCATCACACATCAAAAGACAAGTTGAAGAGCAATAATAACAATAATAATTACAGTTCATCTGTCATGAACGACGGTGACCTTCAACTTTCAGGGAGGAAGATTGGTAGCTAGCATGGAAGACAGACAGAGAGAGAGAGAAAGAGAGAGAGAGAGAGAGAGAGAGAGAGAGAGAGAGAGAGGGGGAGAGGGAGAGAGAGAGAGAGAGAGAGAGAGAGAGAGAGAGAGAGAGAGAGAGAGAGTGAGAGTAATGTAAGGGGAATAATTGGAAGTTTTTATGGAAAAGCGGGCTAACCCAGATTTCAGGGATTTTCAGAAATCTTGATCTACACCAAAAGTGGGCATTGCCCTACCTATAGGAGAAGTTTGGTTTAGTCGGTGTGTATATTTGTTTGGTTATAGAGAAAACTCTCCTTGTCTTTTAAAGAAACTGAACAAGGGGCAAAAACTTTACCTTAGTTTTTCTCAAAATGACATTTTTCGGGATAGCCCCCCTGGTGCTTAAAAGCGACCATTGCAAGCAATTTATAATGATCACAATTTATGTCACAAATTGCCACAAAATTAATAGCAGCGTCGTTTCTCCCCCAAAAGTAATGTGCTTCTCTGCCTAGACATTTGGTTAGCTGGTTAAACATTCTTATGATTTCGCTTATAGATTGTGAAGCGCATTGAGCCTGCTGTTGAGCGGGGATTTGCGCTATACAAATGCTATCCATTATTATTATCTATGTCAAATGTTTTTAGAGGCATAATCAATGCTCTACTTCCCACATATCAATTCTGAGTGAGTAATAACTATGGGAAGCCGAGTGCTTGGTATTGGGACCAAGTGTCCCACCCATCTAAACTAGATATTCTTCATGCGTCTGAAGATACTTGGGGCTTTTGCCCTATCAAGAACATCAGTATCGGGGATCTTATCCCCCCTCTGAGTACTCCATATTTATATCAAACTGGAAAGATGAAACATGTTGAGCTTTTTAGGATGCCGCTACCCTAGAATTACAAAATTCTATCGGCTCAGTACATACGTTTGAAACATGTGAAGTAAAAATTTTAAGTTTCAAAACATGTCAGGCTTTTTAAAAATGCAATTAACTGACTATCAAGATAACGACTCCGAATAATCATACAATTTTTATAGAGTAGATAGAACATTTGGTTTCTGCACTCGACGTTTTAGTAACTCAAAATGGTCAAATATGTCAAAGACAACTTTATTTTTCCAAGATAGCGATGTGTTTTGTAAACTGCCCAGGACTCAGTTCCATATAGAAGGGTTGTAATACGACAGCTCTGTACACATTGAGAATTGACTATGTACATAATCTGGAGACGTCCCAAAAGTCTATTTTTCGGTCTACCAAATATGTAGAGCTAGCTTTGCTTATCTTGGGAGCAACTGCAGAACCAATCCAGGCATTGGTGGAAAGGAACCTATTAAAAAAGGAAAAGCTCTGCCTTGAGCTGTTGACATGGCTATCATGCAATTTTATAAGTGGGGGAGCGACGTTTGTTCAGTTTTGAGCAGGCTGGAGCAGGTTTTCAGTCTTTTTTATGATGATGTTGAGGGAAAAGATGTTACATGCGCTGGAATAAGAATCTATACATTATGTCGTGTTTGCGAGCTGGTCTCGCCATGTAAGCCCCAGTCATCAGCAAACAGGAGGTCATATCCCATGTTGTTCAGTGAAGTATGCAAAGCTGATAGTCTCGATAGACGGACAGACAGAGAGACAGAGAGACAGACAGAGAGACAGAGAGACAGACAGAGAGACAGACAGACAGACAGAGAGACAGACAGACAGACAGACAGACAGACAGACAGACAGACAGACAGACAGACAGACCGTGACTGAGACGGGGACAGGAATATGGACAAAGACATCGAGATGATGAGGGAAATACAAGTACATAAGATATTATGTATGGTTGTATAAGTATTACTTTCTCCATATTGTTGCCTCAAAGTGAACCACAGTTAACCCAAACACATACTAAAACCTATGCACACGCACACAAGGACTATTCACTTAAAATGTGCGTCTCAAAAATCAGTTTCTTGAATACGTTATGGAGAAAATAAGAATCTACCCCCCCCCCCTCCTGTCCCCCTTCGCCCTCTTCTTGCCACACATATGTTGTCATATCCGTTCTGACCTTTCGGTCAAACAAGAGCGAAGGCGCCCTACCTCGAAGGACTTTATCCAACAACGAAAGAAAATGCCAATAAAACACATCCGAAAACGCCCTACGCCCTCCCAAATAAAAGTAACAGCAACAAAACAAAGCAAACAAGAACACCCTTCAACAACCCCCCCCCCAATAAAAAACACAAAAAACAAACAACAAAAACAAACAAACAAGCAAATAACAAAAAAAGAACAACAACGAAAAACAAACTACTCCATACCCCCCCCCCTAAAAAAACAACAACAAACCAACAACAACACAAAACAACAACAAACAAACAACTTTATGGTGGATTCTAGAATTGTGCTCCCCGACAACCTAACTTTAGTGCAAATAAAAATGTTCTAAATCTAATTCTAGTTCCCATTTGAACTTAAGGATAATGGATAATTGATAGCGGTTACAGTTATTTTATGTCGTTTTATTAGTTCCCCTTGTGTATTTTGTGGTCTTTATGGTTTTCGAATTCCATTTGTTTCTTTATTGGCATTTTAGCACCCCTATATTTTTGGTTAGTCCTGGGTACTTTTGTGTTTTTGTGAGAGAGTCCCCCCCCCCCCAACTATTAACTTTCCCTGCGATTTTATCTTACGGTTTCTGTGTTTTATTGGCACTCTCAACATACGCGTATATTATTTTGTCAAACACGTATGCACTCTCGTGTTCTCGCAATGATATTTTCTTGCTTCTGCTTTTTAAAGTGCTGCGTAGTCTATCCAATTTCGCCATGTTCTGGGAAGACTTTACTTCCGCTTGATGAGAAACGCCAGGGGCCCTGGT